TTTCTAATTAATAAGAGGTCTATTGTTCTATTGCTGATGTCTAAATCTAAATTCAATATATTTATGTTCTTTTGGTAATTAATAAGAGTTCTAACTAGTTTTGTTCTCTCTATCTGGTTTGGCACACCATGCTCCACTAGCCTTCTACATGACTGTATCACAGTTTTACCAGCAAAAGTGGCATTACAATGATTGCATGCAATGTAATAGACTACACTGGATTGTAATAACTCCTGAAGAAAAGAGCTGATCGTTCTTGATGGTTTTTGAGTAACTGTTATTTCCACATTCGGTTTAACAGTTTTTGTGTTCCGTTTTAGTTTCTTTGTTAATATTTTTGTAGACTTCTGTACGTATGCTAATTTGAGCACTAGATTCTTATCGTTGTTAGAATCGTTCACGACTTCCTTCTTGGCACAGTGTGATTTATTCATAAGTACACCAATGAGTTGATCTACAAATAACTGGAAATATTCGTTGAGTTTCATCAAATTCTTCTTATCAAATTAGTGCTGTTATTATCACAACAATTCTAAAAGAAATATTGTATTATTTTAGCTTAGTTAAATTCCATTTTATTGATTGAAAAATGCAGTAAATGGATTAACTTTTCTCTGTTCTGTATACTTTCGCTTTTGAGCAAGCTGATGCTCGATGTCATCATGATTAAGGTCCATATTATCAACTTTCAATTCCATGACTTTTAATGCTTGAGCATTATACTTCAGCTGAAGAGTAAAGATTCGTTCAGATTTGTAAAAGTAGCGTTTCGATCTAGTGAAGCATTTATCTGACGTTTTGTTTAGTCTATACGCGAATAAGATAATATTGCTTCATACTTCTCCGTTTAAGATAATTATTTTAATTCATTCACAACCACATTATTAATAAAAAGCGTTAAAGATCTACAAGAAAATGATTCAGGAAAATAAATTACAATAGAAGAAAATCGTCTACAAATTGTTGGATGGAGGCGTCTAATGGTTTCATCGAGTCTTCGGGTGTCTCTTCTACATCATCGTCTGTGATATCATGGTAATAGAGACAGTCGGATAGACTATCTCTTGAACTAACCATGGCTCGAGTTATATGAGCATAATCATTACGACCAGAGAACATGTCCAATGCGAAAAGAGATAACATGGACGCCTGAACAAATCCACCACCACTCGTTGCTCCAACGTACATAACTTTATCTGAATTTGCTGTTGTTATCCAGTCAATTACTGGCATACCGTCAGCAGACACTGGAAGAAACAAAAATTAGATGATTTAGTTATGACATACGACAACATTGAAAAACAGAAAAATCAAGCACTTACTAGGACGCAGGCAATAGGTCATTGGGATTTTTTTATTTGACTCAGTGGCTTTTTCGAACTCTGTTGGAAAATACTTTCTCACTGTGCGTGCTACTAAAACAGCCATTTCTGTATAGTGAGATGTTTTTACGATGGGATGTTTACCCACGAACCCAAAGCCACCACTGATAATTAGTGTCGCGTCATCAACACTCATTGTCACATTCATTACCGCAACAGGATCTGCCTCATGGATCTTAAAACCTTCTGTAATCCTGTTAATATTTGGCAGTTTTAACCAATATCCAATAACTGCTTGAACTTGTTTTATTATTGGCGAAACTTTTAGCGGAGCATCTCCACTGACACCTGTTGCAAGAAGAATTCGGTCGGAGATGATCTTTTCTCCGGTCTTCAACACGACTACTGTATCTTCCAGAGACGCGACTTCACATGCCCATCTGAATGTTACCTGTCGTTTCTTCGCAAGATAATTCACCAGATTATCACCCAGTTGTTGTACGTTCATTGTAAAACCTTCGACCTCGACGCCACCAGCGAGATGATCATGATTCAAGTGAGGAAAACGTGTAACCACTTGCTCTTTCGACAGTTGAATAACTTTGTCAGTTTTTCGATGAACTTTATTTTGAAATTCAACCGTGTTTGACACAGCTGATTCGGATGTACATAGTCGAACAATTCGGCGACTTCTCATAGCATTTTCAGCTAGCTCCGGAATTTGTTTAAAAAGATCTTCCCACAAATCGATTGCAGCTCGATTCATGCTTGTTACGAGATCAGAAAAAATAGAATACATTTCGGGAAAGTGTGACATAGCCTCAAATTTCTGTGCCCACACTTCTTCGTCAGACGACATATTGTCCAGCATTCTCCAACCTTTATTCATGGGCGTAAGTCGAAGTGATCGTACCCGAGTTGGAGCTGCTACAGCCTCAGTGACCGACGCGTGTCGAGCATCACAACCACCCATAGTAGTGCCGCCATTGTAAACCTCCAAATCTTTTCCAAGGACCGGCTGATCGTGCCTATCGATTACAGTCACTCGATAACCACCGATACTCAAGAACAACGCCGCCACTAGACCTGCAATTCCAGCACCGATCACGGTTATCGACTCATTCGTGAGCGTAGATGGAATTTCGAAATTGGTTGAACCACAAAATGTTTCTTTCAATACAATGACAGCCAAAACTGTCAACGCTGCCTGATCCATGGCTTCTTCACATCCTTTGCGTGAATTGATCTCAGGAATGAGTTCGAGTATATTCGATAAGTGAATACCGAGTTCGGCGACTTTTTCAGTGTTTATTCGGGTCAAATCAGCTCCGCTACGAATAACATTTAGTACAGCTGATGAGCCCATAATGTTTCGCCACAAATGAAGTGTCTCAGCACTGAGTAAGTTGTTGTCAACAAGAATGATGTGTGGTTTAAATCGACTAATCTCATCTCGGAGACCGTCATCATTAGAGAGTAAGTCTGGACGCCAGCTTATATTTTCTAATCTGTTCAAATTGATTTTGATTGGATAAGCAATTAATACTTTCATCTCTTCTGCTACAAAAGCAACAACCCTCAATAATTTCTCTTGTTTCTGTACGCGCAACAGTTGCTACCTTAAAGGAATGAATTATTTGCTATATTCACGTCACGGTCAATATTAATGTTTCAATTTGATTCAGATATGGATAAAATTTTGTGTACAT